ACTGCGTATCGGCAGCTAGATCCTAGTCGCAAGCCAGCCATGCAAATCTGCATACGTGTTGGCTATCCTTGCCTCCAGACAGGTATTTGTTGCATTCCGGGACCTCTTGACATACAAAGCCAGTAGTTGACTTTGTGCACCTACCCCACCACTATCATCACGAGATCAGAGAGGCAACAAAATCTTGTGAATGCTCGATGCCCCAAACAGGCACAAGGATGACAACAGCTTTCGATTCCGGTCATTTCTTTCTGTTTGGGTTTGGCTTCGATCCCTGCAATCCCTGTTGCCTACACTTGTCCTTCATGCAGAAATGTAGGAGAAGGCAGTGGCACTTGGGGCATAGCCGCAACTGTGCACACAGCAGACATTTCCAAGAGAGAAGATCTCGGATGCTTGTTGCCAATGGACAAGAGTAGCTGCAGATTGCAACTGCGTATCGGCATTCTCCCATGCCCACACCGGTCATTTGCTGCATACACTGCTTCCAAAGAATTCTGAGCGGGTTTCAGCTCTCAAGATACCCATCATGTGCTGCAACTGAGCGTTCTGGGGGTGTTTCCTTGGAAAAGAATTTCAGCATAGTGTTGCCTTCTTTTGGTTTGCTGTTCAGGTCTGTCAACCTTCAACTGGATTCTAGTCGCAAGCCAGCCATGCAAATCTGCATACGTGTTGGCTGTCCTTGCCTCCAGACAGGTATTTGTTGCATTCCGGGACCTCTTGACATACAACGCCAGTAGTTGACTTTGTGCACCTACCCCACCACTATCATCACGAGATCAGAGAGGCAACAAAATCTTGTGAATGCTCGATGCCCCCAGGCACAAGGGATGGGATGGCAACAGCACATGCAAGTCCCGCAAGCCATTGGTTGTCGATGTTTGTGCCATGTCACATGACACAAACACACACACACACACACATCCGCGGCAAAAGAATTGACGAAACAGCGGCGGAGAGCTCCAAGTTCATTCCCAGGAATCCATGCCTCTCAGCCAAGTGGCTCAAGGAACGAAGTGTCATTTGAGTCGGTCCTCATCGGCAATATCGGAAAAACAAGGCTTGGCACAATTGTTGGCATGTTCGGCACGCCCAAAGTGAACGCATTGCCGTTGCAAAGTGTGCATTCTTTTTGGTTGAATGGCGGAGCACATGCAACAGCATCCAACATGTGGCACCCTTCTTCAACAAGATTAGCCTTGGCAAAGCCAAAGATGAAGCATGGCATGGCAAAACATGCGTTATAAACACACAGCCGGGAACAATTCGAACAATCCCCTCACCTCAGAGTTTTCCTGATCCTCGTGCCACTAGCGTAGTTCTGGAGTGAACACCATTGGACTGACGATGTTTCTCTTGAACCATCTTGAACCATCTTGAACCTCAGCTGCTTCCCAGGATATAGCAGGGTTGCTTTGACACGGTGACGCATTCGTGATGCCTTCAGGGTTGCCAGCTCGGATGCGGTGGTTCTCTGTAGGACTTGTTGGTGTGGGGTCCATCCTGCCAGGTATCGGTTCCGAAACACAAATTGACAAACCCTAAAGATTGACATTTGTACCTCCATGGATTGAAACAGCTTGCAGTGCAAGTGTAGCATATGTAGCTGAGTTTCAATGACACTCCGTGGGGCCTTCTGTGCTGAGATTTGCGACGGTGACTTGTGAAATGCGAATCCGATTGAATTTGAGTGTGAGGTGGATGCCACACATATGCAACACATTTCAGTTTTTGGATAACCCTCCGCCTGGTCCAAGGTAGTGCAAGTCAGTTGCAAGTCCGTTCTATTCTGAAGTGTCTCAACCTTCATTCGTCGAAAAAACATCACTCGTCAAAGTTTCGTACTTGCAAGCTTTCCCAAGAGGATGTCCAGAAGACCTTGGAGTGCAGGCGTGGCTGATGGTAGATATCCAAACTAGCTTATTCATGTGCGCATGGCTCCAAAGCATTTCAGAAAGTGTGCTCAGGCATCTCAGGAATTCCTCTAACGCGTCGCTCCTGTGACTTCATCAGTAGCTTCATGCTGCGAACTTATCAGCCTAGTGGTATGAAAGGCATCGAAAGACATGTCTGGCTGCTCAACTCCCCATGTGGGTGTGGATGAAAAATGGATGTCCTTTTGTTCCTATCTTGGAATGGCCAGGCAGATGAACCGGGTGAATTTTGACAGCCCAACACATGCCCCGCGTAGATTCTGCCTTGAGAGTGCTCCAACAACTTCCGCCACAGCTACGGCGCCGGTAACGAAGGAAAGATGTCAACAGTTCTTGCATTGAGCTTGGAAGGTTGTGCCAAATGTCCTGCATGGAAAAGGTTCAGCTGGATGCGGGATTTTACCCATAGGCAGCATAGCGGGACCTGCTTGAATGTCGTCAACGATACGCCTTCTGTGTGATTCCTTGTCATGTCACCACGTCCTAAAAGATCAAAAGGCAAGAAGTCAAATAGCGCTTCATCTCTTGCAATGGATTATCCGTTTGGAAGAGAATGCGGCAGCAGACTCCTGCTTGTGAACCTTTGCTGAAAGAACCCCTGAAGCGATGGGCTGTAACTGCAGAGAAAAAGCAGCTAGGCCAAAGAGGTCAATGCCATTCAACGCCAGTGGTTTACATGATAAACACCAGGGCGCTCATAGCTATTCCCAAGCAACACAACGTACTCACGAACTCTGCAGATCTAGCTTCAATGGCTGCAATCACCAAGATCTGGTACCAGTCCGAGTGGGGATTGAAGGGAGAACTTGAACTTGAACCTGTGACCAACGATGGAGCTTGAATCAAGCGAATGTTGTAGATGTGTCAGATGTGCTGTCCATTTGTTGCTACCAAGTCATGGCACTAGTGCGGGTGATGCCTGCCCAATCCTTTGTGCAATGCTTGATTATGCGTTTCAGTAGTTTCTTGCTCCCAGCGACTTCGCTGCCACACCGTGAATGACACGTACTGCACCGGCGCTGAGCAAGCACCCATGTGGTCAACATCCATTCCGCCATGCAGACTGCATTCAGAGTTGTGCAGAAGCACAGGTTGTTCTCAATCTCGGCCAGGTAATGACTGTCAATATTGTCAATGATCAAGCTGATGTCCCGTGGTTGCGATCCAGAGCCAAAGATGCCAAATCAAAGCATCATTGAAAGTCAAGCTGCATTTGGTGTGTTTGTGCAAACAGTAAGGACAAAGCTATCGGAAAGCGATCGAAAGGAGGGCTCAGCAAGGTCAGGTTCAGGTGCGGCGCATGTGGGCGGGTCCTTTACACTTGCATGCCAAGTGCAGTGCGAAGTTCAGTGCCAAGATGTGCCAAGTGCAGTCAAGCTTTCAATGATTCAGGCGCCTGGATGTGTTTGAACACTTTGCCACTGCTGTCTCAATGTTCTCACACCTGTCATCGGCAACATACATACTGTTGGCGACAAAGCGCGGTCGTAGTCCAATCTCTCCAAGCAGATTCAAAGCATGGCTTCGGTGACCGTTTGTGCATCTTTAGCCGGTATCGACGATTGTTCGCGGCAAGGATCAGCAGCTAGGCACAGCTTACAGGCGATCCACAGCCCTTGGCTAGAGCACAGCTAGTCTTGGAATGGCCAGGCAGATGAACCGGGTGAATTTTGGCCCAACACATGCCCCGCGTAGATTCTGCCTTGAGAGTGCTCCAACAACTTCCGCCACAGCTACGGCGCCGGGTAACGTAGGAAAGATTTCAACAGTTCTTGCATTGAGCTTGGAAGGTTGTGCCAAATGTCCTACATGGAAAAGGTTCAGCTGGATGTGGGATTTTACCCATAGGCAGCATAGCGGGACCTGCTTGAATGTCGTCAATGATAAGCCTTCAGCTGATACATGTGTGATTCCTTGTCATGTCACCACGTCCTAAAAGATCAAAAGGCAAGAAGTCAAATAGCGCTTCATCTCTTGCAATGGATTATCCGTTTGGAAGAGAATGCGGCAGCAGACTCCTGCTTGTGAACCTTTGCTGAAAGAACCCCTGAAGCGATGGGCTGTAACTGCAGAGAAAAAGCAGCTAGGCCAAAGAGGTCAATGCCATTCAACGCCAGTGGTTTACATGATAAACACCAGGGCGCTCATAGCTATTCCCAAGCAACACAACGTACTCACGAACTCTGCAGATCTAGCTTCAATGACTGCAATCACCAAGATCTGGTACCAGTCCGAGTGGGGATTGAAGGGAGAACTTGAACTTGAACCTGTGACCAACGATGGAGCTTGAATCAAGCGAATGTTGTAGATGTGTCAGATGTGCTGTCCATTTGTTGCTACCAAGTCATGGCACTAGTGCGGGTGATGCCTGCCCAATCCTTTGTGCAATGCTTGATTATGCGTTTCAGTAGTTTCTTGCTCCCAGCGACTTCGCTGCCACACCGTGAATGACACGTACTGCACCGGCGCTGAGCAAGCACCCATGTGGTCAACATCCATTCCGCCATGCAGACTGCATTCAGAGTTGTGCAGAAGCACAGGTTGTTCTCAATCTCGGCCAGGTAATGACTGTCAATATTGTCAATGATCAAGCTGATGTCCCGTGGTTGCGATCCAGAGCCAAAGATGCCAAATCAAAGCATCATTGAAAGTCAAGCTGCATTTGGTGTGTTTGTGCAAACAGTAAGGACAAAGCTATCGGAAAGCGATCGAAAGGAGGGCTCAGCAAGGTCAGGTTCAGGTGCGGCGCATGTGGGCGCTGGGTCGGCCTGCAAGTGTGAAATTGCGTTTGAACTCTTCTGCGTTTGATAATCCTTAGTTTAATTTGTAAATGATATGTAGGCAACCTGTTGCCTGTTTACATGGAAACAAGACAATGATCGCGCCTGTTTACATCAAAGAAACTTTTCCTTACCCGGTGTTGCTTACAACTCAAGTGTGACGGTTCCATGCGGAACGCACCAACGGGACATAAGGAAAGCCAATGCAAATCAAAAAAAGTCAACCTATTGATAAAATTTGATAAATTGATAAAGCGCAAGCCAAGTTGCCACATGTCTCGTAAAGGGGTTCTAGCTGCAATAAGATCAATCATGTCGCATTTGCAGCTGCATCAGGAAACCATACCAGAACTCCTGGTTCCATGTTTCACCAGGTCTCTTAATTAAAAGAACTCGAAGTGCAATTCTGAAAAAAGATCGGCACATGTTTCGGTTACAATCCGGATGCAGGCATTGCATGCGTCCATGTGTGCAGCATTGATACCCTAAATCCGACAAAGTCTATTTTTCCAACTGTGACAGATCCATGCAGAATGCACCAAGCGAGAAATAAGGAAATCCAATTTGCAAATCAAAAAAAGTCAACATATTCATAAATTGATAAAGCACAAGCCAAGTTGCCACATGTCTCGTAAAGGGGTTCTAGCTGCAATAAGATCAATCATGTCGCCTTTGCAGCTGCATCAGGAAACCATACCAGAACTCCAAGTTCCATGTTTCACCAGGTCTCTTAATTAAAAGAACTCGAAGTGCAATTCTGAAAAAAGATCGGCACATGTTTCGGTTACAATCCGGATGCAGGCATTGCATTCGTCCATGTGTGCAGGTTTTGATACCTTAAATCCGAGAAAGTCTCTTTTTCCAACTGTGACAGATCCATGCAGAATGCACCAAGCGAGAAATAAGGAAATCCAATTTGCAAATCAAAAAAAGTCAACATATTCATAAATTGATAAAGCACAAGCCAAGTTGCCACATGTCTCGTAAAGGGGTTCTAGCTGCAACAAGATAAATCATGTCGCATTTGCAGCTGCATCAGGAAACCATACCAGAACTCCTGGTTCCATGTTTCACCAGGTCTCTTAATTAAAAGAACTCGAAGTGCAATTCTGAAAAAAGATCGGCACATGTTTCGGTTACAATCCGGATGCAGGCATTGCATGCGTCCATGTGTGCAGCATTGAAACCCTAAATCCGACAAAGTCTCTTTTTCCAACTGTGACAGATCCATGCAGAATGCACCAAGCGAGAAATAAGGAAATCCAATTTGCAAATCCAAAAAAGTCAACATATTCATAAATTGATAAAGCACAAGCCAAGTTGCCACATGTCTCGTAAAGGGGTTCTAGCTGCAATAAGATCAATCATGTCGCATTTGCAGCTGCATCAGGAAACCATACCAGAACTCCTGGTTCCATGTTTCACCAGGTCTCTTAATTAAAAGAACTCGAAGTGCAATTCTGAAAAAAGATCGGCACATGTTTCGGTTACAATCCGGATGCAGGCATTGCATGCGTCCATGTGTGCAGCATTGATACCTTAAATCCGAGAAAGTCTCTTTTTCCAACTGTGACAGATCCATGCAGAATGCACCAAGCGAGAAATAAGGAAATCCAATTTGCAAATCAAAAAAGTCAACATATTCATAAATTGATAAAGCACAAGCCAAGTTGCCACATTTCCGGTACGAGGGTTCTAGCTGCAATTAAGATGAAGTAGACTGGCAGCTGCATCAGAAAACTATGCAAGAACTCCTGGTTTGATGTTTCACCAGGTCTCTTAATTAAAAGCACTGGAAGTGCAATTCTGAAAAAACGTCGGCACATGTTTCGGTTACCATCCGGATGCAGGCATTGCATGCGTCCATGTGTGCAGATTTTGATACCCTATGATCCAGATTTTTTTCGTTGCTATAGAGACCTTTTTTGATTTTGGACTCCAGTTCACAGATCGGTTGGATCTTACGAAACTTGGGGTTTTGACTCCTCTTTGAGAGGGGTCACAATGCTGTTAGGCCGGTGATCTCACCAGGCCAATCCAACAAAGTCTCTTTTTCCAACGACGGTTCCATGCGGAATGCACCAAACGGGACATAAGGAAAGCCAATTGGCAAAGCATGGCAAAGCAAAAAAAGTCAACATATTGATCAAGCACAAGAACAAGTTGCCACAGTTGCCACAGTACGATGGTGGCTGGATCCAGATCAATCACATCAATCACAAGAAAAACAGATCAGACATATCCAGATCAATTCAAAGTATTCAAAGTATTCTGGGCACGTTCATGTCTGTGTGTGATAGCACGTTGGCCACGGCCGTTGGGTTCTTCCGGGTTCTGTCACCGACTCGATGCTAATCTCGGCTTTGGTAATCTCACAGCTCGTCTCACAGCTCCAAATGTCTATCGTTGGCTCAATTCAATCAATTTGTTGGCTTCAATCAATTCAGCATGGTTCTGACAAATTTGGCAAGGCATCAGCATGTGCGCCTTTGTACAGCAATTCCACCACGGACCAGCCACTGCAGTCAATTGTTGAGTCTATGAGTCTATGAGTTCTTTTAACGCCGAAGTTCAATTTCAGAGATTGGATGTTCCGCTTTCGGATCTTCAAAACTGCAATAAAAGTATCAAAATTGCCAAAGACGTGTTCCTCCAAGTCCCCATCCAACTTGTCCAACTTGAGTCCACCTTGAGTCCAACCGCTGTCCCGCCATGTTGCAATATCTCAATGGGCACCTGAGTTGGCGTTAAACTTCCCAAATACACAGCTGCTATGATTTCCACGCGTGGCAGACTAGGCAGTTTGTCAACATGATCAATTGTGAAGGATCAAAGACATCCTTCCGGCTGGTTTTTACACCCAAGGGCTTCAGAGTTTTCTGAAAACCCTGAACTCGCACAGCATTTGTTTTCCTAGTTGATGGTTCAAAGAGCACAACCACGCAACTTCTGCGACGCAGCATGAGTTTTAGCGAAGACAGATATTTGGGATACAATATGGTACTTTTTTGTAGGTCCTTCAACGGCGCCTGGAGCTGGCTGAAACGGGGAATGGATGCGAGACTGTGCCGTTTGCCTAATTTGCCTCGTCACAGATGTCTTAGGTCATGTTGATGCCAGTGCCATCACTCGGCATCGCATGGCCACAACTGGGAAATCTGCAGCAACATCGCGCGGCCAATTCCCGACATTTCTCAACATATTGCTGGACTCAATGTGTTTGAACAGCCAAAGAATACAAAACTTGCAAAACACATGGGATGTGTGGCCCCACATTGTAGCGACAAATGGCTACAAGTGTAAAATGGCCGCTTTGAGGTGGGGAGGGCATGGGCACATCCAAATTCCCACAGGAGAACATGGGTAGCTGGGTGTTGAAATCGTTTGAAGCCAACAGTGTCTAAACACACTTACAATCACTTACCTTGTTTTAGAATGGTTTAATTTTTTCCCCAGAAGGCAAACATGATCGGCATGTTAAAGGGGGACTGAGACTTAGACCGCCTCGGATTCGCCAAAACTGCTGGCTCAAAGCGATAGAGTCATGAGAACATGGGACGGGTCAGGATGCAATCAACATTAATCAACCATCCATAACTATCCCCAACTATCCCTGACTATCCAATTCAATGTCCCTTTCTGTTCATTCTTGAAGCACTCCTGAGGCGGCCAAAGTTCTCGATAGAAAGTAGTGGCGCAATGTGGATGTGCAAATTGATGCGCATTTTCGAGTAGCACCCAGCACCCAGCGACCTGAACACCCCTGAACATAGCACATCCACAAAATCTCACAGCCTTCAAAACATCAAACTGAACAAACGACGATGACACGCAAGCCCTGTGGGCCAAGGCTGGGTGGCTGGTTGCGCAGTTTGTCCTTGATAGTTCCTGGTGGCCGCAACTTTTTGTAACGTAAAAAATGGTGTGTAAACGGGCGCCGCACGCCAGACAAAGATGTTTTGATACTAGGAAGTGAGACTGGTGAGATCTAGGATGCACAACATTTCCTTGAGCTTTTTGCCTTACCAGGAGGCGTGTCATGAGCAAGTGCTGTAGTTTTGCCTTTGAGATTCGTTTTGATTGTGAATGCGGCAGTCTTCGACGGGGAACGAGTCAAGACGTGGAACTGCGGGGCCTATGCTACCAGATTTGTAATTAAGAGTAAATGTGTGTGTGTGTACATATGCATGTGTTTCTCTCTTCTTTGTTTTTCAAGGTTTCTAGTGGTGTTTGGTAGCTTTTCGTGGCTTTATGTGGCTTCTGTGGCTGGGGTCTCTGTGAATTCCATGGATTCAGTGACTTTCCGGTTTTTTTGTTTCCATCGTTTCCTAGCCTAAAGAACCACAGGCTCCCGTGGATGCGTTTGCTATTTGTGCCTGAATTCTTCTCCTGGTAGACCTAAGACGTCTTGGCTAATCTTATATAAATCTAAATCATCTAGATGCATCTTGGCATTTTCCTTTCTGTTCTGGTGTCTGTTCTGGCATGCTTCTTTGCTCTGGTGTCTGTTCTGCCATGTTCTGCCAATAGGGTTCTTCAGGGACCAGTCTCATCTCATTATTTCACAGGTAGGCGACGCCCACCTTGGAGGCTCAACAGGTCAAAGTTTGCATAGATAGTGAATGGTTTGCATGGCTTTCATTCTGTTACAGTCCTCTAAACGCTGTGAGTCTGGAAGGCACTTCTGTGATGGCAACATGATGCAACATGTCTGTGTCCTGAAAGTATTTGAAAGGGTAAACACAATTCACACCTAAAGCATGAGAGATTGCAAACCTATTTGAGCCTATTTGTATTCATTTGCTCACTTCCACTTCTCCTTTCCCGACTAATTAGAGGGGTTACCGAGTTTGACTGGAATGCTGCAGCACCACATGCCCAGCTGGATGCAAAAACACGGGAAAGCATTTGAAGGCATCAATCCTTGTGCAAGAAATATCAAGAAAGGGAGATATAAACAAAGAAAAGGCGGGTACGCAGGTGCAATATGATGTGATTTGCGATCTAAGAACGCTTTCCCCCTCCAGGAGCAAGGGAAGCGTGGCTGTGAATTGCAAGCTCTCGAGCTGCGCTTGAGCAAAAAGGAGACTTGGCCACTGGTCTTCCGAATGGTGCAATGCTGCAAGGAATTTTGCACCGCAATAGTCACAACCAGACATGACTCTTTTCTAACTTAGAGACGGCAAAACACGAGTTGCAAAGAACCAACCCATGCAGTGAGAGATTTTGAAGCCATTCTTTCAGTTGTACGATTCATTGCATGTTGGACACTTCCTGACACATCCAGACACTGTCTTCTTAGCAGAGGGTTGGATCGATGCAAGGCTAAGTGTCCTACCTTGCAAAACCGGATTTCACTCAATGCTTTTTGCATGTGGTGCTGCTGTGAAGAAAGGTTTGAGCTCCTGCTTTCACTTCGGTTTCGAATCCCATCATATATCATCACAAAAGTGTGGGACTGAATTGGATCAGAAGCTGAAGCTGAAGAAAAGGATAGGACTGCAACGAATTCAGATAATCCATCTGCGTCTCTTGACACCTTTCTACTGTTACTGTTTACAGTAACACCATGTGTGACACCTTTCTTTCAAAGCCTTGGGCTCAAGCTGCCTGAGCATCCACGTATCCGGTATTAGTACATCCTGGTCGACAGGCGACCATCAATGTGATGATATGAGTAATATGAGACAGTGAGACTCAGTGAGACACCGCTTCTTGATGTTTCTTGATGTTGGTATCTTCCGGGTGTCCTCCGTATCTGCATTTTTGTTGTCAAGTTTCACCTTGCTTCCCGCATCACTCTGGGAAGGTTGTGCTGATAGGATTGTGATGGATTGTGATGACAAACATGCGTTTGTTTTTTCATGTTTTGCACTCAGTGCACTCAGCTGTTCTGGCAGAGGCCATGACAACTTTGCAGCTTACCTCTACTGCTACAGCATTCTTTGTGCCGCTCTTAGCCGAAGAGGTGGCAAATTTCATGTTTCCATCTTATTTTCATGCAAATCGGCAAAGACAGTTCCGCATTTTGCAGCTTGAAGCACCATGTTCAAGGCATGCCTGTCGGCCATTTTGGTGGCCTCCAGCAGCCTTTCCGCACAACATCTTTCCACATCTGTGCAGATCTTGCTGAATGATGTAGAATGTCGAGCTGTGGAGCTCTTTAGATGAGAATCCCCAAGGTACATCGGTACCTTCTGATGCACTCTCTGAGGCTTGGCTTCAGGTTTCATTCTTAAGGAGAATTGCTATTGGATATAATTCGATCATGAATTGCTTGATTGCTATTTGATGCTATTTGATTTTCTTTGTTTGCTAGTTGGCTTTCGAGATCTCATGAAGGGGGTAGGTTTCACTGCTTGCATCTCCTTGCATCAGCTTGCATCTGACTGTAGCGGTTTTGCTGACTCAAAAGCAACGGCCCTTGCAATCTCTTTCGACGCGAAACAACTTCAGCCATGGGTGACGAAGAGGTGCAACGGCTAGGGACCAGATGACACGTGCGCCCTGGTGGTCGTGTGCCAATTCTTCCCACTTCTTTTGTGCACCGTTGTGTTATGGTTTAAAATCACTGGGCAGTTCTCATTGCGCCAGATCTTTGCATTGAGTGTTTGTATTGTTTGTATTTGTCTAAAGATGTTGCTATACTATACTGCTGCTACACCTTTCATTGGATGTATCGTCCATCTTCTGATAGTTTCTGATATTTCGTGTCCGTTGTTGTCCGTTGTCTTCCGTTGTCTTCCGTTGTCTTCCGTTGTCTTCCGTTGTCGCAGGTGGCAGCTCTGGTCGTTGACAACGGCAGTGGCATGTGCAAGGCTGGCTTTGCGGGCGATGATGCTCCTCGAGCAGTTTTCCCGAGCATTGTCGGCCGGCCAAAGATGCCCGGAATTATGGTTGGCATGGACCAAAAGGACAGTTACGTGGGAGATGAAGCCCAGAGCAAGCGAGGTGTTTTGACCTTGAAATATCCCATTGAGCACGGCATTGTCACCAACTGGGATGATATGGAAGCTTGGATAGCACGATTGCACAGACCAGCACTTGCCAAAGACGTCTTCTGAATTTTGTTGCTCCATGCTGCTTCTATCTAGATGCAGCTTCATGATCCTTTGTCATGATATTTGACATGTGTTGTTTCATTTTATGTCTTGTTTTGTCATGCGCCTGTCACAAGGAGAAGATTTGGCATCACACCTTCTACAACGAGCTGCGTGTGGCTCCGGAAGAGCATCCAGTCTTGCTGACGGAAGCCCCGTTGAACCCCAAGGCGAATCGTGAGCGAATGACGCAGATCATGTTTGAGACCTTCAATGTACCAGCGATGTATGTGGCAATTCAGGCTGTGCTGTCTCTGTATGCATCTGGCCGTACCACTGGAATCGTCATGGACAGTGGCGATGGTGTCAGCCACACTGTTCCAATCTACGAGGGCTATGCCTTGCCACACGCCATCCTCCGTTTGGATTTGGCTGGCCGTGACCTCACAGAGTACATGATGAAGATCTTGACCGAGCGTGGCTATTCCTTCACCACCACGGCGGAGCGCGAGATCGTTCGAGACGTAAAGGCCCATGAGGGGAGAATATCATTAAGAGATATTAGGAGGTAGTAAGGGGATGTGAGGTGTAAAAGAGCGGATAAGTCAGACTGTGAACCAACCTTCGGATATTGTATGATGTTGTGTGATATTGTGCGATTCTACATTTCCTATCCTTTCCATTGTTTCAGCGGCGCTGCCACAAGTTGCTCCAAATCCATCAATTTCATCAATTTCTAGGAGAAACTTTGCTACATCGCCTTGGACTTTGACAGCGAGATGAAGGCTGCATCTGAGAGCAGCGACAAGGAGAAGACTTACGAGTTGCCTGATGGCAACATCATCACCGTTGGATCTGAACGTTTCCGCTGCCCAGAAGTCCTGTTCCAGCCAAGCTTCGTGGGCAAGGAGGCCAGTGGGATTCATGACACCACCTTCCAATCGATTATGAAGTTCCTTGGTGGTGTTTAGCGGATTTTAGCGGCATACGTTGAGATTTCTAATGATTTCGGCAACTGTGTTAAATATTGTTAAATGGGTCATTGGGTCTGCCGATTTACCACGTATCTCCCAGTAGTTCCAGACACTAAGCAGGAGTAAGCAGGAGTAAGCAGGAGTAAGCAGGACAGTTCCAACATCAAACAACCACCCAGGTGTGACGTCGATATTCGAAAGGATCTCTACGCCAACGTGGTCCTGTCCGGTGGTACCACCATGTTCACTGGAATTGGAGAGCGCATGACCAAGGAGTTGACTGCCTTGGCACCTTCCACCATGAAGATCAAAGTGGTGGCTCCTCCTGAGCGAAAGTACAGTGTGTGGATTGGTGGTTCCATTTTGTCTTCTCTCAGCACCTTCCAGCAGATGTGGATCTCTAAAGGCTACTTGGAAGATCTTGGAATGATTTGGTTTTCAATGATCTTCACATTCTTCATATTCTTCATATTCTTCACATTCTTCATATTCTTCATATTCTTCACCTTGCATCAGACCATACCAGACCATATCAGAGCTAAATGCTTTACCTGTTAACACCATTTCATAATGTTTCACACCTAAGGTGAGTATGATGAGTCTGGCCCGACCATTGTCCACCGCAAGTGCTTCTAGAACGCTGGATTCTCTCATGTCCACTGCTTTGAGGCATCGATGCGGCTGTGTTGTAGAGAGCCACGGCTGTCAAGTTCACAGCGGCTTAGGTTTGCCTCGGTGACAATCGTCACAATTCATTTCCTTTCGGGGTTTGTGGGTAGGCTGTGTTGAAGAGGGCTTGACCCTCAGGTTCACATCTCTGCTCGCAGAGCTTAGCTGCCTTACAGCTTGAGTGAGGCCCAGCTAGCACTGGAAAAAGCGCAAAGAGCCCATTTTGGCCGCTGCGGTTGGATCGGTTGGCATTTGATGGTCATTTGATGGTATGGAACATATTGATCTGTCTTGAAATGTTTGTTGCTGCAAAGTATGACACGTTTCCCCCGAGGAAAGAAGCTAGAGGTAGCCCGGCAGCTCCTAGTGACGCTGTCACAGGTTACCGCCAGCCACAAGAGCTCTTGCCTTCTGCAACGCAATGCGCAGCTGAAGGCACGGATTCGAATATCTTTAATGTCGAAGCAGTATCAATCGTATCAAGTTGTTTCAAAACTCACTTCACTTTCAATCTTGAAAGGGTGTGACCGTTTGTGCGCACTTGCGTCAGTGTCTTTTGCACTGGTTGCGTTGGGTGCCAGATTCGTCCCAACAACACTCTCAGCCAGAACGTCGTAGCATCTGTTCAGTCTGGGCAGCTTGGCAGACACCGGAGAAAGAGATGAATCCATGATGAACATAATATGACACTGGAACATGTCCGACATATCAGACATGACATATCCATAGTCCAATGATATCCAATGATGTCCACTACATTCTCAAGACCTTCCGTGGCTGCATAATCAGATCTGAAGCATTATGAAGGGTCTAAAGAGTCTTGAAAGTCTCAAGTCTCTAAGCAGTCTCTGAGCTAAGTGCATTTTCATGATTTGTAATGATTTGTCAATATTTGTCGTGATGGTTCTAGTCTGGAACCAGTTGCCTGGCAGATTGACTTCCATGCACACCGATGCCATGTCTGAAGCCACCGGAGACTTAGCTGCAGCTTTTGGAATGGCATGAAACAGAAGCATCAGAACCTGCATATGGTCTGTTGAATTCTGTTGACATTGTTGACCTCATTTCACCTCATGGCTAAGGATGGCTCAGCGATATTTTCGCGGAAGAGGCTTCAAACTGAGAAAAAAACTTCAGATGTTGACAGATGTTGCTTTGATATGTTCAGATTAGTTCAGATTGATGGTGACATTGCCACTCCTGGTATCTCCTGGTAAAAGGTGGAGCCAATTGCCAACAGCACGACTGTCCGAAGAGCCCGCCTTCACCCAGTGCGTTGGTCAAAGAATGACAAGGACCTCACATCACTCAGATGTGAATGATCGGAACATGAATATGTGCTAGGGTAGCGGGGTAATCGGTCCACAAAGTCTTTCTTTGCAAGATTCTGCAAGATGTGCTAGATGTTCATCCCTGTTTGGGCATATCTTCGGGTGGAATGGCATTCAAATTCAACACATTTCAACATCTACATCAGCTGGCAGGGCTTCTTCATTGTTTTCACCATAGCCTTAGTGCAGTGATCTCAGTGCCCGGTGGTCGGTGGTCGTATCCGGTGCCATGCGCCGCTTCACATCATGAAATTCCTCGAGGTGTTTCGATTATTTCGTGCTGCAGCGGCTGAATGTCTCTGGACTGCGGCAGCACTTGGCCTTGGTCGCCTTCTGGATATTGGTTGGTATGGGCGACTTGGTACAGCGAACTATCGAATTCTTCTCGAAGAATTTCTGACTTTGATTCGGAGTGCCCCGGTTCGTGAACGAGTCGTGAACGAGGCTACAATCTCTTCATCGCTGTGCGGCATGGCTCCGTCGCAGGCCGGATCCAGGGGACCCGGGGGACCCGGGGGACCCGGGGGACCCGGGGGACCTGCGAAATCTCCATGTCACTGCCGTTTAAGTGTTGACCTATCCGGACCTATCGCCGTTATGGGACCGTTGTTTCAGTGGTCTCTTTATTCTCTTTGGGACTTGTCGGACTTACGGAAGGCGCATCCTGTAGCACAGGTGTTCAGTGGTGCAGTGGATATCTCTTAGCTGCTTGGATCTCCTTGGTCAGGTAATATCAGGGTTAGCGTAGTTCCATGTAGTTCCAGTATGCCTCTTATTGATTTTCGTTCCTCGAGGCAACTGACTGAACTCGCTTTCAAATCGTCTACAGTGTAGAAAGGAAAAGCTTGAGGGGAGACGCAAACACACAGAAAGAGAGGTGTACTGCACACTAATATACACATGAAATCACATGAAATCAAGTTCGTTCCTCAGGTTAGGTCGTGCTACGCACATTCTTCTCAAGATGAGAGATGGACTGTGGATTTTGCAAAAGAGATCTTTGAAGCTGTGAGGAATGGCTACTGTCCATGGACAACCTCTTTATTTTTCACTTGATCTTCCGGCTCTACAAAACACCACCAGAAGTGATCCACAAGGCTTGTGCCTAAGAAAACAGAAGACAGCTGATGCAACAATGTGAGGAAACAAGACCATGCGGCGCTGCATTGCCAAATTCAAAGGAGAGGACATGGAGGGATATGACATGATCTGACATCTGATATGCCATTTGAATCCATTTGAAGGATCTAAGATGATCTGAGACAACGTCCAGGCAGTTCTAAGATGCTTCTTAGGCTCTGTTCCTGGGAATCTTGGGCGCTGTCACGTTCCGCTTCACTCTATTCGCAGTCGTGAGGCACGGCTAGAGATCAGCTGCTTTGGTGCCATGTGCAAAACAACTTCATGATAAAATATGATGAAATATGATAAATAGACAAACACATCAAACACGGACGCCTCCGAAGAATGTCCTTGCAAAACCCAACAGCTTCGGCAAAGATCGTTGCCTGTTTGTTTTGGTCCACAGACATTTGGTGACTTGTGACAATAAAGAATTTTCTGCAGCACTGTGAGCTCAAAACTCAAGGCCATGACTCGAAAGTTCAAAGCCCGACCACGCGGGACGCGCATGCTCGGATGGGCGATCCTTGCAGCTTTTCATGCTGTTGGAATTTCTTTCGCAGGGATGCAACGCGGTACGCAATGCGGTACCCAACGCAGTATGCAACGCATGCAATACCCAGGTCAATTGCACCTGCCATGTGTAGGGAATGAGGATCGAAAGAAAGAGAAGGCTCTGCCAATGAGAGGAGAAAACAAGAAATGGCAGACCACACAGACAGAACATGTTAGGACTGGCCATGCTCGGATAAGCATCCCAATAGACTTTGCATCTTGTTCACTGTTTGGCGGTGCGCTGCTGCTTTGGAGTCTGGGGGCATACACCTTTTTGACTGCCTTGCTAAAACGGTGTGCACAATGTCACCTTGGAGTCCAGCAATGCCTGCATTTGTCAAAGATGGCCAGTGGATCTTGGATCTTTTAATTGACCAACGATGATCCTCAGTGACGCTCATTGATTGTGGAAATATGTGAAAATTGTAGAAAATTGTAGAACCATTCCAGTGGTTGACTTGAATCCAAGCCGACAGGAAGTCAGCATGACTTTTTTAAATCCCCACTCAGTAGTTTGAGCAGCTTCACGTTAATAGGACGTGGCATCGAAATTGCTGTTTGCAGAAGCAGCACTGCTAGTGATATCCTGATTTGCGACATGTTGAAAATTGCCGGGCACGGAACATTTCTCAGATGATTAGTGCTCCCCGTGCACAAGATGGTGTGAGATGAAGATGGCATGATATTATGGTATGATATTTTTTGCTTCCACAAAGTATCCAATGCTTTTGTCATCTTTTATCACGTAGCTACATGTAACTACAACATTCCTGTTCCACTAGATCTGCAGAAATTACAAGCACCGTGGCCATCGACAACCCCGGTGCCTCGTCAGGCAGCTCCTCGATTTGGTGACTTGGTTCCGCTTTATCTTCGGTGGCTTTTTGATTTGGTTCCTTGGTTGGCAGAGGGCAGAGCATGGCAGTGTTTTTTGCATGGCATGGGAAATTGTAGCAACACTTGACCAGGAGTGGCATACAAGCTGCCAAAGACGATGAAGAGGAGGACGTTAAAAAAGGCTTCGTGACTTTCACCAGATAATCAAGAAATACAGATTCATCATGATTCACTTGTACATAAAAGGTGTATTTTACAAAAACGGGACTGTTTCAGTTTGACTGAGTTTGAGTGTGTTTCAGTCGAGTCCTCTTCCAATCCTCTCGGCCCCATAGCCTGGACGGTCGAGAGAGGCTGAAGGGCTTCAGCTGCAGGACTTGACGGCCAAGCACACCGTGAAATTGCTCCAGTGGCTTCTTGGTGATCGACTGCTAGATGGCTATGGTGAAAAGGACGGATGCATGGCACAAAGTGACTACACTGTAGACTGTGTAGACTGTGTAGACATAAGCAATACATTGAAGCAGAGTTGAAGACGGGAGTGATTTAAAGAAACGGACACATGTGGACACTTGCTCAATGCCACGGGTCAGGAGGGGAGCTTGGTCATTTGGAGGAACGGCAAACTGACTTTCACGCTTCTCTTTCCGGTTGTTTGTTGCTTCTCGGCCAAATCCACGAGCTGCCTTGGTCTAAGATGCCAGCTATGCACAGCACCATGCTCTGTTTGCGTCGCTCTGCTGTTTCAAGTTGTAGATCGATGTCCCAGGCTTGGAATGTACTGACCTGATCTTTGCAGTCGACACTTGACAAGAAATTGAAGAGATCGACCAAGCGATGCCAAAATGTAGACAAGTTGTGACAAGTTGTGACAAGTTGCTGTGTGGATCAGAGCAGATTTCGTTCACCTCAGGACAGTGTGAGTGCAAAAGCGTGGGTGCTCAGAGTGTCGACTTGAATCATCCAGCAAACCTGCTGGGATGTCAAGTGATTCACTTTTTCATAAGATTCATAAGTCTTTCATTGTTTTTCTTCTTCAACTTTTATTATTTATTCTTCTATAGGTCAGCCCTAGACATGGGCTTTGTCATCCCGTGATGTGATATGTGATGACAGGCAGCGCAGATTCCGAACGTTTGGGACTCCGTGACTTCTGCGGTGCTGGCGTTCTTGGTCTGCAGAACGCCATAGTCGCTGCAACCCAACCCACAGGATAGAACATGCTGTTAGCATCGAACAGCAACATTTTCAAATGTTGGCTGTGAAGCTTTGAGTTTCCCAACATTTCCCAACATGTCCCAACATTTCCCAACAAATCAATCAGATTCCATCAATATTGCACGGTATTTCATCTTTCTTCATATCTGCATATCGTCATGCAGATCATTCAGATTCCTTGAGTATTGATCCGAGGATGTTTGGATTACGCACCATGTTCTTCGTGGTCCAAGACCTGGTTCAACTCTTTGGTCTTCTGAAATATGGCCTGCGCCTGCGGCTGGAACTTGAAGCATGTTCCAATCTTTTGACAACAAATTGATAGATTATTGCTCCGCAAGGTTGGGTGGTCTAGCGCATTTTAAGATATTTTAAGTTGTATTTTCGCTACACTTTATAAACTTTATACTATATATATACATATGTATAATTTTATTATAACTTTATAACTATAAAATATTACCGCAGGGAGAATATACTTCTATCAATTTCTATCCATGCCAGAGGTGACAACTTCATGATGGAAGTGTTTTGAGACAATGTCCCAAAGCTCATCACAGCAGTCTTGAACTAACGACAAAGACAGACCTGACGGATCCTGACGGCGACATGGCACCTGGAGACCAAAGGAACATGGAAAGCGCAGTCTCGAGTGCTGTAAATAATGGGGGACACTATGGGACACTTGAAGTTTGGTTCCAGATGCTTCCAGGAAATTCTGTTTCTCGATACGTTGGAAGGTGCTTCATCCTTGTCTTTATCGGAGTGGAGCTGATGATTTCAGACTATGTGGCACTACCTCCTCACGCAACATGCCTAGATACTGAATGCTTCAGCATGCGTCAGCATTTCAGTTGGTGGTTTGCTTATGGGTTTATTAATTTATGATGGTTTACTTATGTCATCTTATGTCTTGTGTTTGTTTTTTCCTTGTTCTGCCATTGCAGATATAAGCCTGCCTGTGTGTTCGTGGCCCATGTGGCTAAGGTAGTCTGTGTCGTGATCCTCTCCGTGTTCAGCATTTCAATGGTTGGCTCATCTGCATTGGCGTCAGAACCCGTTGCTGCTGCTGAAGGCCGTTGGGTATAGACCAAAAACAGGTGCAATTAAATGACCATGATGGTATGCGAATCTGTAGTGTGAAATATGAAGCATGTCCATGTGATTTTTCACGTATGATATGGACATATGATCTTATGGTATTTGAATGTGTTTGATCTGCATGTGATAGTATGCATGACACATTTTGCCGATCAGATCAATGTGAAATGTGCCATTCATCACACACACAATTATGCACAATGATTCAGACAACGCTGCATTACATAATGTGTGTCATATACCATGCATTGTAGTCATATCTCTTGTATGAATTTGCATGACATATCATGTGTGTTGTCTACATTATGTGTATTTCATTTTTCTATTGTACAATGTATCGAGCAATCTTGTTACTTCTGCAATCGTCCTTCTCAGATGGAGGAGTACTCAACATTGCTTGTTTCTATGAACAAGCCAGCTACTTTAGCAGCTAACCTTCACAACTTTGATTTCCGCTGAGGTATCCTTGGTTGTTCTTTGCAAGTCGCTTTGGTTTGATAGGTCTTCTGGCTGCTTCTCCAGCGAAGTCCTCAAAGGCATCCTCTCCATAGGCACGGTGCGAGTACAGCCGATGTTCGACTTGGTGGAGACCCCAGCTCAAAAAAGGGAAACGCCTCAAGTTTGGTAATTCAGATGGAGAAAACACACAGTATGCCGTTTATAGTTGTATATAGCCTGTTTACTTTTCTGGTTCCAGACAGCCACGGTTTCTTGTGTGACAATGGTCTGAGCTGAACCGTCAGGAAATTGCGCTCTGAAAGCCTACAAGCACTGATCAGAGTGGCATGAAAAACCTGGCACTTCGGACTTCGGACCTCGTACGATGCTGCAGAATGGACGCACAAAGGATCTTGTTTTCTCACAGAGCGCCACAACATTCATGTTAAACCTGGATTGCCAATCGGCTCTGAAAGTTTGTGACTTGAGCCAACAAAAGCGAGCAACATGTGTCGGCATCATACAGTTGGGCATCAAACCAACTGACAAGTCAAGTAACAAAAGCTCACCTGAGTGCATCAACATGATGAGTCATGACATTTGCATCCCTCTGTCCTTATTACAGCTTTGTTAACTATATTTACAAAGCTTACACATCGTAGAAACAGTTGAATTCCCTGCAAACGGCTTTGCCCATTGAGCGCATTATGTGGGCTCGACGTTTAGGCAGGGTGTCCACAAGGGTCGTTCCGGCAAGTGGCGCAGAACAACCGTCAGGTCGAGCCACACCTGCTTTGGCGGCTTGTGGATGCTTGGGATTGTCGAGGCAATAAAGGGCAACAAAGGGCAAATGAAACGACATGACTCTTCAGCTTTACTTGGTTCCAGCAAAGTCTGCATAACAGATATTGGATGATTGGATGATATTGGTATTTCGACCTTGGATCTTCGATCGTTGAAGCAGATCCACACATGTTCCGAAGTTTGGAAGAAAGGGACGACTTCAGTTGGGCGGTGCTGTGTGGCAGTGCTGCTGGATGGCTGCCCAGTTACGATTTTGCTGCGAGAAGAGTTCGCTGCGAAGCGTCATCACCCACCTTCTCTGTGGGTTTTGAGCCCAGATCTGGATAGAGAAGGACAGATTAAAATGGCATCAAAGTTAGTACAGTAATCTATGTTCCATCTCTCAAAAGTTCAGAAGACAATGTCGAACAAGAGAAGAGAAGAAGGATTTAGAAGGATCAAAAGTTGGAGCCCATGGGATACTAAGTATCCGCCGATACTTATGCAAGTGGCAACATGCGCAACATGCCAAAATATCCAAGATCATCCTATGACGAGATGCACTTCGCTCACCCTAGACAGACAGAAACAGAGAACATCTGGAAGGCATACTGGGCACACCCTCCACGTCCGCTCTTCACCTAGGCTCCTACAATGTGTTGGAAACTCACTCAATGGAACTTCTGGGGGTGTCCTTTGTCCACAAGGAAGTTGATACAGACTGCACATTGACTGCACAAACTCGAACAGTCTTTCATTCAGATTTTCTCAGGCTCTGCACAACTTATGCGCTCAAATGGAAGGACTGGAAAACTCCGTTTGCGAATTTAGTGACAGGAGCTGTGTGACATGAGTCTCTGAAGCAAAATCAGGAGCGGCAGGGTATGGATGCCAATGGCAATTCCAATTGGACCTCCTGGCACGTTTCTCCGCGTTTCTCCACGTTTCTCCGCGTTACGTTTCTCCAAGTCCTTTTTTTGATGATCACAGAATCATGTATCGTTCGCAGCGCATCTAGGATCATCTATGTCACATACGCCTGGACATGTGAGTATGTATGTCATTCATTGTAATATGACATCACATCATACAATCAGATAATTTCATACTATACTCAATCCATCTACTAAATTCATAATATTGTAGATGTATTATATAATATCATATGTATATGTATATATATACATATATATATATATGTATACTGTATACATATATAATTGTATATACACATTGACATCCAATTGGTACCTTTTTCATTTCTGGGTCCAATTGGTTCCGCACAGGGCTTTGAGATGGCCAGTGATGAGAGATGCTCGGCGGTTAGCCCAATGGATGGTTTATGATGGAACATGCCCAAAAAAATGGAATACCCTCATTTATGATCATTTATGGAAACCTATGGAAACCTCTATATGGCACATGCTTGTGCATGGACGTAATTTGGATGTCTCAATGGATGCCAATGGGTAATGCAGAAGTTAAATCTCCCAGCTTTGCCTCCAGTGACTCACTCAGTGACCCAGTGGGTACCTTTTTAGACCGCCGAGGACATTTTAAAGCAAGCGAGCTTCGATGTGCTTTGTCTCCAAGAGGTGGAGAAGACTGACGTTGATTCGATGCTTGACATGCCTGAGATTCTTGCAGTGTATCATTAAATTTAGATGAACTCAACAAATGATGCCTGAATTTAGATGGGTTTAGTCAAATCATTTGTTGCACGGACTGTGCTTTTCTTCTCTGCAGTACTTCTGACAGAAACAGATCGAACAGATTCAAAGAAGTTTCAAAGTGGCTCTTGCTACTGTAGGATTGTGGCGGATTCTTGGCCGAGAAGCGGTGCCGTGTGTTGAAACGTGTTGAAACGTGTTGAAACGTGTGAGCCGCGGGCCTCGGGAGTGCCATGTTGCGCCTCCTGGCCACATCCCAGGATCTTGGTCCAGAGTACAAGTCTCATTACTTCAAGCATCCGGAGAAAGGGCGACCACCAGATGGTGCCTCGCCAACAGTTCTAACATGTTCTAACACACCTTGATATACCTTGATGGCCGAAAGATCTAAACTAGCTATCACCAAACACGTATGATATGCCCAAAGCCGTGGTCAGCATACTAGGATATACTAGGGGTCCGGGTGTGGTGAGTATGATGTCAGTATGATCTCCAAGAGCAGAGTTGTTTTCAATCGTGAAGGTCTCCTCATCGCTGTGAAGAGCAGCGTTTGTGCTGCTCCATCATGGTCAGAGCGGGATTTCAAAGGCCGTGATGAGAGTCCCGGGATGGGTCAATATGGGTCAGTTCTGGGCAGAGATCACAGATCAATCAGATCAGCACAGATCTGAAAGTGTTTGCACCGCTCTTAGGGAACAAATGAAAAGAGAGGGAAGCGTAGCAGATGTGACAGAATCTGCTTTGATCCGCATGTGTTCAGCAGGCAAAGTGATCTTTGGAGGCCTTGGCATTTGGCATCATTTGACATCATTTGGCATCATTTGGCATTTGGGTTGTGGGATGTTGTGGGGGAATCATGGGGAATCCAAACTGTGATGCGAATCGAGGAGTCGATTTTCAGCATCCGTGCGGCGCCCGCATCCGAGTGATCACTGGCCACATGAGAGGCACTCACGGCAGTTCTCTGCTGTTGCAGTCCAAAGCATGATTGTTTCCGTGTCCCATTTCTCTTCAGACTTCATGCTTAGTTCATTCTTAGTTCTATTCTGCAGCGAATACATAGTCACATTCTACAATTTAACTTACTTTTAATTGAGGAATACGTTATACATACTTCAATTCCTGCATGTCAAAATGATAATTCCATGAGATTCAAGTGAGGCTTGCTCAATGTGACTTGATGGTCTTTCGTAGGTCGGAACCAGGAGCAGCTGGATGCTTTTGGTGCGTTTGCTGCAGAGGGCACAGCGCAGATCGAGGTCATCACCGTGGCTTGGCTGAAACCATGGCTTCAACGGCTTCCTACGGGTCCTACAACTTGGGAATGGGAATATGAAGCTTTTTGTGACCTGATGTGACCTGAGATCAGCCATTCTCAGGCTGACTTCAATGAAGACTTTCAGGAGAGAAGTGCAGGCCACTGACGGGTCGCTGACGTTGCAGGTCTAAAGCCCTATCATGCCCTATCCCCAAAAGAACAAGGACCAGTGGATGTGATCCGTTTACACACTTTTACACTCTCGGTTGATCTCGGTTGAGATTTCTAGGTACCGTATGGAAATATACAGGATTATATTATATAGATGTTTCTTCAAATATACCCCGAGCCCATTTTTTGCAATACCAAAGTGGTCAGATTTTGGATGAATTTGGGGTACCCATGTTTTAGGAACACCCCCCTGTGGAAATGATGTTTGACAATTTTTGGTCCCAGAGCATGTCTCGTGGCGAGGCACTGTCCCTTGCCCGTTTGACGGCAAGTGTGCGTCTCAGTGCGCAGATCATACGACATCAACAGACAGCCGACCAATCAAGACATATCAAAACGATTTGGGATCTTCCAAAAACGATCCAAAAACGATGAAAAACTTAGCCCTGAGCATACCTGGAGCAGAGAGACCTGGAACATCCCGGAACCTTGTTAGAATATGTTAGAATATGTGCAAACGCTGCGAGGCACGTGACTTTGCGCAGGGCACCAGATCTTCCACAGGTCTCACGGCCAGGAAACAAACAGGCAGGGAGTGCGGTTTGAGGGTGACCTAGGGTGACCTAGGGTGACCTTCCCACTTCACAAATCTTCACATGCATTTTGCTGGTACACCTTGAGAAAAGGTGAAAGACCTCGAACAATCATCACGGATTCATAGAAACGTGACATGATTGAAATACATATAAATATGTTATGTATTAATCATTACTATTAGTTATTAGTTATTAGTTATTATTATCTATAATTATTGTTATTGTCATTATTATCATTATTATCACTATTATTATTGTTATTACTAATTACTATTCATTATTATTACATTATATGAATTATTAATTACTATATTCTTTTAGATTGTCTATGTCGAAACACTCACGAGATGTTGAAATGAGACTTTTTCAAGATGTTTGGGGAATGTTTTCATTGGTCAGGCCCAGACACCCGGTCAAGGCCTGGGCTGAAATGCCGCAGAGCAAATCCAAAGAGACACGGATTGTTCAACTTCGGCCAGGGCTGAAAATTGATTACATTTGGGTCCGGGAACGTACACAGGACGCGGACAGGGTGAAGGGCAGCGTTACCAAAGTGTCTCAATTGTGAAGCTTTTGAAGCTTTTGTCAAGATTGGATTCAAGATTTTCAGAATCCATTGATGACTTCATGGAAGTCACAACTGCCATGTGCAGGATTTTCAGACTGAACTTTTCTTTGATGAAGCATCTCGACGCTGCTTGGCCACCAGTTTTTACTGCTGTGAGAGCACAGTGAAACTTTGATGCGTTGCCACGTGTTGCCACCTCAAGGAGCCATCATAGACTCCCACAAAGACTGTGAAGCAACGGGGGAGTGGCCTAGTGACCATGGCTGCATCTCTTCTGCATACAGACCATACAGTGCCTTCGGGAAAAGGTGAAAACCATCACCACCATCATCATCAACAACAACACCACCAACATACATCAACAGTATCAACAACAGCCGAAACATTGCCCTGACCGGGCTTAGCTTGGTTCATTATCCCTTCCTTCCACTATGGAGTGAATTTCTGCAGTAAGGTGAAGCCCTGAGCATCCGATTGCGACGGAAAGCATGGTCGCTTGCTGCAAAATAAAAGGGTCGCTTGGGAATTTGTCACTTCCGATGGTTTTTTTTGGTGTCGAAAGGGTACGTGGAACAGCTTTTGAAAGGCTTTCGGACCTTTGTCAAAGCTATGCAGCATTCTGCTGCAGGTGGCAATTCTGGAAATGAGAATCTGTGGATATCTGCGGCACTCGTTTCTGAAAAAGAGTGCCTTGCAAAAATGCAGAAACAGCGAGAAGGGACACATGGGACACCATTGATCCTACGACTGATATAAAGCTAGTCGTTTGAAAGCAGTTCGAGAAGAATATGTAGGAATGTTTTGGGTGGTTTCAATTTGATTGAAGCTTTGGAGGAAAGGAGAACTTGGCCTTCGCTACCAGAAATTAACAAAGATTTGGTCTGGCCTGTCTGCCATTGTCTGCCAATTCGCAACTTTTTGCCTCCAGCTGTGGGTCCAAGCGTCAGTTGCCTTTGAAGTGCCAGGCTCGTTTTTTTCCCCTGGGGATCAGTGGGATGTCTTGCACTTTGCACTACGCACTGAAAGACCTTGTGCCAGAAACGCGGAATGAGCACCTTGGAAGAATGGGCACAGAAGGTGCGGATTCCCAGTGCTACGTGCTATGTGCTACGGGACACTGGCGGCCCGTGACATGTGACAGAAAACTTGGCAGAAGATTCATCGCCCTTGATCTAAAACAATGAACATAATGACATAATATGACGATAATATGATATAATAACAATACCGATCCGGCCATTGCCCTAGAACCTTACTAGATGCCTCTGAGCCTTGAACCACAAGACAAGATAAAGCTGAAGAATGTGAAGGCAGCATAAAGCAGTTTTTTAAGCAGACACCTTTAACTTTAATCCAGCTTGGATGATTTGGATGTGGATGCCTCAGATGCTTCAGGAGAGTTTGCAAGCTCTCTTCAACAGGTTTGACTCCAACTGTGACGGCGGGGAATTCTGTCGGATTGCGTTTCATGGTGCTTTGACCACCAACTTTGCCACCAAGATGTCAATCTTATAGATCTTTTTGCAGTGTCTTACAGCGTATATACAGTATATATACACCTAGAAGGATGTATGAGGCTGATATATGTATATAGAGAGTATGAAGATCAACAATAGACTATATCAGATGTATTCCCGAATCAGGTTGACATCAAGATGTAATGCGTGACACAGTGTGAAAGGCTGCTTTTGTGGGTGAAGCTTCGCGAGCCAGTAAGTTGAGCCACTCATACCGATCTTGACCCATCTTGACCCATCTTGACCCTAAAAAATGCTGTGGTTCAGGCACACTCAGTACGGACGAACTTCGGCGTGCCTTGTGTGGTGTTGGCTTGAAGAATGCTGATGTACTTTGCCCGCAAGGATGTCACCACATGTCACCACAACCTCCATGAGTTTCCCAATTCCATCATTCCATTTGCCCACATTACAATGATGTCAAGCGAAGAACTTGTGTGGAAAGACGATCCGATCCTTAGAATTCAAAGATTTCAAAGCCGAAAGTTTGTTTTGTCGCAACGTCTTCATCTGGGTCAATAGAGATCTTTTATGATCTTTTCATGTTTCAAATTGTTTCAAACCACTGCAGGTGACCAAGATTTACAAGGTCATGGCCGCTCTGCTGGATGAGAGACTGCTGACTGCGGTCGTGGCAGTCCGGGAATGTCAAAGCATGTCAAAGCGAAGGAACATGAGTTGCACCTGCACCGTTTTCAATGGAACAGCTGCAGTTGGGACAGCAAGTGTCGAATGATGTTGAATGTATATATATATAATATATATATATTATATAATGTATTGTAACCTTGTAACAGCTGTGTCAACTGTGTCAATGAGCTATGGCTGAGGACACCAATAGCGATGAGCGGGTTTCCTACACAGAGTTCATCCGTTGGCTTTTCCATGGCGGCGCAGAGGCAGTGACTGTAGCAGGAGAGCGCCAAATGATGGGCGATTGCATCCCATTGGACTGTCAAATCTGCCAGGCAACTGTGATCACCAAGAAAGTTTTTTCAGGTCCTTCCACCCCAGCCGAGGTCCGACATTTGTCACCATTGAATTCACTGCGAGTAAGATCGAATAAGTGCGTTTGTGTATGTTTGTTTTTGCTCAAGGCGATGACTGAGTTCATGGAGTTCATTCAAGAACTGAAGGACACACCACCGGCAGAAGGTGAGAAGCCCACAAAGCTGAAGGTGTCTTGGCCGACACAAAAAGACGACAGTCTTCAAAGAGGTGTAAATGATGTAATGGAAATGGCATTCGTGCTTATCTGGATTCGCACGGATTTGCACTTACTAAGGACATCTTCAAAAAGATGGACGGCTCCTTTGATGCATCAAAACTTCCATGACATGTCCCATTTGTTTTGAACCGTTTTGAAAAATGAGCGCTCAACAACTGCGGAAAGCTCTGACTTAGACTGCTGACATCTAGAGATGACTTTCTGTGTTGCGCCAAGAAAACGGCAGCGGCAAGATTTCTTTCACCGAGTTCAAGTCGAAACTTGGCAAAAAGTACTCATCTCCAGAACAAACACTGCCACAAAATCCGAAGTTGAAGTCGAGCTTTTCACAAAAGAAATCTGTTCAATTCTTTTCTTCTTTTCTTCTTTTCCTATTGATTTGTTTTCCATTGTTTCCCTTCTGTCCAGGGCCACCTCATCATTGGGTTATGACCTTGACGATGATCTGCTGCCACCCAGCTGAACTATCTGAACTCGTACCTGGGGTGAACATCAAAGCCAGACGGATCTCATCGCAGTGTACAGCCCAGGATGCAACTTGTTTTCGCTTTGCCGGGCTAGGGATCTTTATAGTTTTAAGATGTTTTAAGGAAAGAAGTCTTCGACTTGATCGACGCACCCTGGAAGCAGAGCTTTTGAACGATTTCGACGATTTCCATCAATTTCCGACATTGCTCTAAAAAAACATGATTGAAGAGCCAGTCGCAGCATGCAGCACGCAGCTTTCACATGCTTTGACATCCAGGTTCAGAAGTCCAGGAAAAAGAAGAAGAAACGCTTGACGGATGAGGATTGAACATGGAATCACATGGATCCAGCAACGTGAAAGGATTGAACAATCTTAAACAGGATGAACAGGTGCAAACGTCAAAACCGTGGCAGTGCCAATCCGTGACAATAGATAATATTAATTATAGAGCATATTAGAGCAATATTAGAACCTCTTAGTTGCTCGTACTATCTGATGACTTCTGATTACTATCTACTATTCGTGAAAACGAACATTGATTCTCATTGTTTTCTCACTGATTCACTATGATATTTACTATGATTCACCATGAGATTTACCATATTCACTATGATATAGTAAATATGATTCACTATGGTATATATCATGAATTATCATGATATAGCAAATATTACTATGGTAAAATTCACTATGATATTTACCATGATTTTTACTTTGGTATTCGTTTGTGGCCAAGATCCTTTGCCTTGAACTCGACTCGACTTGTCGTTCCAGGAAGTGGAGGAGCTCATCTCGGAGGCCAAAGCGAAACTCAGCCGTGCCAGGAACAAGGGAAACCATGGAGAATCAACGCACAAAGATATTTATGAACATGTAAATATCATATAAATATACCATATAATATATGAAAACATATATGAAAACGAGTCTTAAATATCTGAAATATTCTCAAATAACAAACAATTCAGAAAAGGGTGTGAGTTGGAAGATGAAGGATATGTTTTGATAGGACATAATTTGAGAAACATTTGTCATGGCCAAGGAAGCAGGCGGAAGATCCTAGTGTTGCTCAGTTGCATATTTTGATCCCGGCGTCGCTATGGGGAGTTCTCGTGGCAGCAACTGAGGTCGAGATTCCGGAGTTCCTCGATGGCTTTCCCAAAGGAAAGCGTCTCAAAAAACCTTTGATGTGCTTAAAGTGTATTCAAATGTGTATATGCATATATATATATAATTATATATGTATGTATATATGCACATATTATATACATTATGAATATTGGTATACTTATATATATACACTGTATGCAGATCATATAAGAATCATTGACTTGCAGTCTACATTTCATCTTATTTAATTGCCAAACAGATTGGGCATGGGCCGAGCAAAGCTCCTCAGATTTTGACTTGACCCAGTGACATCCAGTCCACACGTTGACGTCGCAGGAGATATATCGTGCTGGCTCTCCCATGAGAAAGTCTATTATGCCTCTAATTTGCACTTAAGAAGTGAAGAAATCATTAAACATCATAATCTCCTTGAAGCAATCAGACATTTTACTTACGTGTTCAGTCTGTTTTCTATATTATTCTGTATATCTCTATATTGTTGGATCATCGCGCCGTCGCGCCGCTCTCAGTGTGGCCAAAAAGAGAAGTGGGTGAAGGAACGTCGACTCATCTATGATCCGAATGCCAGGCTCTCAGGATCGTTATCAACTGCAACTGTTGCTGTAACTCTGTGGACAAATAGCTATCTATAGCTATCTATAGCTATCTGTAGCTATCTATAGCTATCTATAGCTATCTATAGGTATCTATAGCTATCTATAGATATCTATAGATATAGATGGATGATAGCTGATAGTTATAGCATGTTATATCATGTTATATCCATATAGCCTATAGTTCTGTACTATGTAACAGTGCCTATCAATATCAAAAAGTGTGTATATATATAAATTACATATACTTATACACGTATGTTTATATTATACATACAGAGGGAGTATCTAACAAATAAGGGTAAAAGATGGTAAAAACAGATCCAAGCAGTCCCTAGGGTAGAACGTGGTAGAACAGTCGAGATTGACAGTCCAAACCTGCGATGAGCAGCACTGAGGCAGCTGAAACGCGGGATTACCAGATCACCTACAAGGAGTTTAAGAAGGCCAGGTATGTTTCCAATCGGCCAATCGGCTGTCGATGTCACTTAAATGTCATCTGAAAATGTCGGGAGGGATGAGGAGGGATGAGGAGGGATAAAAACGATCATCTGGCCTCTGAGACAAAATCATGTTCACATGATTTCACATCTTCATTTTCATGTATGATTTATATGATTTGGGAGAGCATGCCGTCAGAAACTCACCATGTTCGGTGAGGCCTTCAAGGCTGTGATCGGAGCCTGAACGACAGGACAAACGGATCGAACCTGGATGGTGACATCATGGTGACAGGGCAAGTATTTGTTGCCATGTG